AGCTCACAGGAATGGGAATGTGAGATAAATAACACATAATGAATAGAAATTAGAAATGGCAAGTGCAGTTAAATAATGATACACCTTGTTATTCTTGTGACTAATTGTAGTTTGAATCTTTGTATTTATTTTTTGTTCTTATTAGTTGTTAGTTTTGCAGATTGGCGTTAGAGATATAAATACTTGTCATTCAGTGCATATTTATTTAGGATGATGAATACGATCCTCCAAATACATAAATATTTGTATTGGCTCATCAATTTGCGATGATATTACTATATTTGACTTATCAAAACATGCCAAAATACTGTCCATCATTATTAGAATATTGCCCTGATTATGGATGAGTGACATCAAAAGAGAGATATTTTTTGTTGTTGATATTATGGCCATGTTATCATCATGCTTGTACATTCGTCTGCCATCAGCATATTATTGTCATCATCAACATCATCATCTTCATCATCATTACCATCATCATCTTCATCATCATCATCATCACCACCACCACCACCACCACCACCACCACCACCACCACCACCACCACCATCATTATCATCATTAGACGGACATGCCAATTGTGATAATAAGTGCCATAATTGTGACATGCCATAACAATTACGGTACGTTATGATTTAGAACACCAGACTACCTCAACCCATGACATAGGTCTAATTCAGTATCTGAATGTTTTGAAATGGGAAGGGGATGATGGGGATTTTTTGGGAGGCGACTGAGCAACGCGAGTACTTTTTTTTCTGGGGGTGGAGGATACCCTAGATATGCCACTGGCTTAATTGATAAGTATTTGACTAGTGTTCATATGTCGTGTTATAAGCAACATAACTGACACCATTAGATTATAATGTGCATTTCTTTTCGTCGGTGGTGAAGGGTGGTCACGTGAGTGGGAAGTGCTATAGTATAAAAATTGATCACTACTATTAAATTCCTCGAACAACTAGTAGGACTGATAATATATGAATATAAATATAGTGTAATAATGATCAACAACATAATTGAATACGAACAATGTTATATGTATAATATAATGTTGTATAATTAATATAATAGGTCCGCGATGGCATGTTTCCCAACGACGTTTCCCAACGAAGCAAAAATCTTGGTTCGAAGCCTCCATTGATCTTAGGTTTGGACGATTTTTAACTTCGTCTATTCATTCTACAGTGGACGTTAACGTGTTGTTCGTCCCGTGTGCATAACTGCCCTTTGCAATCAGTCTTCAGTAAGAAATTGCCTCGGGCAGGTGTAATGCCTATAATTCATATATAATTATCACGTCCGTGTATGTATCTGCTGTGTCAGTGGAAGGATTTGGATATTTCAGTGTAAAGTTGCATTCACATCGAACCAGAGTTTTCTGATTGGAAAGCCTACCGAACCGATCAGAAAATCGAACTAGTGTGTAAGAATAGGGATGCTGGCGTTCAGCGCGACGGAAACGCGGTCCGAAGTAATCTCGGTTCGGATCCGATGTGAATGCAGCATTAAACACCAAGGGCACTCGAAATAATTATGGATAAGCCTATAAACTGTTATGTTGGCCCGATAGTTTAAAATAGGAAATTAGGCTAGATTAGATGTACACCTTCATGAATAAACTAAATTATTAGACAGAAATAAAAATAAAAAAAACAAGAAAAAAAAACTTTTATTCTAAATGGGATTCGCCTACAATCTGAATTAAAATACAAGCTGTAATTGGAAAATAATTATTATAAAAAAAACCATATATATATTTAACTTAAGTAATATTAACAATAATAATGGGATTTGCATAGCACCATACTGAGGTGTAAAGATTATTACACCGCGCAGGCCCCTAACCAGCTTAAAACTGACCGGAACTCACTTCGTGTGTGGTACCACTATAGGAAGTGGGCAAAGGCCGCGAAAAAATTGTGTGTTTAGATGTCCGGAAATGAGTTTCTTGACATTTTCAGGGAGCATTTAACAACCAAGGAACTTTTTAGTAACAATTGTTGTAAATGTTTGCATTATTAGATGATAGACGGTTTAGGACTGACCTGCCCTGAGGGAAAAGAGAAAAAAACTCACCAAAACACCAAATTAAAGTGAAGCCGAATTATGTTACATCACGTTCGACTGGATCCATGCTAATTGCATTAGTCTATTTCCCTGGCAAGCGAAGCAGTGGCGGATCCAAGAATTTTAAATAGAGGCGGCCTATAGGGAGAACTTTTACAGACAGTGTAGACCACCTCAGCCCCAACCATGGCGGGGCGGGTAAGAAAATTAATTTTTATGGCCCCTCTAGTTGGTCGGAAATGGCTCTCTCAGACTTAAATTTGAATATAATTTTCTATTTTCTCCACTTTAAATTTTTGGGGAAAAAAATAGGAAGGGTGGACCAGCTGCCCTACCACCTTGAATCTGCCACTGAAATACTCATCATAAAAAAGTTTTTTTTTCAATTTATCCTGGTAATAATAATCATGTCCGCTTTTATAATTCGTGCAAACTAACATTCATAAAAATAATGATTTATTATTTTGTGATTAGCTTGTTACGTATTCGAACCATGAAAAACAAATAAAATAAACTTAAAAGAGTCACCCTAATTTATTCTTTGCATGTACAGTACTTTTAAAATCAATCAAGAGGTTTTCCCTTTACTCCTCTTTTTAAATTTCAATTTTATGCTCAGTAGTATTGCGACTACACGTGTGGCGGATCCAGGAATTTGAAATAGAGGGGCCCCAAAGAGGGGCTTTCACAGATGGAGGGTCTATACTCTATACTCTATATAAAAAAATTTATGATTGCGGCACCTGTAGATGGCCGGAAATGGCACTCTTAGACTCAAAATTTTAGTAGAATTTTCTTTTTTTTTCTCCATTTTTATTTATTTTTAAAAATTTAGCGGGTGAAGGGGAGGGGGCCGGCTGGGTCCCCCTTGAATCCATCACTGCGAAGGATATATATATATATAAAGGTACCAGATAAGTATTAAGGTACCAGATTGCTGTCTCTTATACACATCTAGATGTGTATAAGAGACAGTATCTGCTGTGTCAGTGGAATGTTAATACAAAGTAAGTAACAGCACATCCATGATGATATCCTTTGTCCCTGTCTGAATTTTCCCAGGGAAGTTACACTCTAATCTAATAAGTAAACTGTTCTCGTCATGAATAACCTCTTTGCTTGTAATGAATTCATATTGTGCCCAAAATATGAATAAAGAAAGCCTTCTTTTTATCACTGACTTTTGTAATTTATGGACAGTAGAAGACATTTATATTTAAAATTTGTTAATTGGTTGATGTGTTTTTTTTTTCATCTGAGAAGGTAATCGTTTTTATAGCACTGAGATCTACTTTTCTGAGACGCAGGCTGATGACAGTGGTGGTGATGATGATGATTAGGATAATAATAATAATAATAATAATAATAATAATAATAATAATAATAATAATAATAATAATAATAGGCCTTTCAATAAGGTTTCGAAATTGAGTCAAGTGCTAATCTGACAAATTTTCGAGTTGGTAGGCCTGCTTGACATTTTCTTCATTCAATAAATCATTGTCTTCGTCTTCGTGTTCCATGAAAAATAATGTAAAAGAGCTAATAATGCGATATTCCTACGTCATAATCAAGTTCATCAACTTCTGAGAAAACAAACTTTTGCCCTCAAAGCAATAAAATACAGACACATGTTCTCTTGCCTACGTCATAATCAAGTTCATCAACTTCTGAGAAAACATAAACTTTGTGGCCTCAAAGCAATAAATTACAGACACATGGTCTCTAATACGTCATCGCTTGTTCACAAATTGCCCTGACACATTATTTGTGATTAGTATGTTTATTCAGAAATTCATAAATATATTACAGTATTTTATTCCTCTTAGATGAAATCAAAATGCGTTATTTATGCTGGAGCGAAATTTCGAAAGAAAGCATAAAAAAGCACAGGGAAACAGTATATTTTGGTAATGAAATAAAGAATGGGAGCCCAATTCACCTCCGGAATAGATGATCCATGGTGCTGTGACTCAATCAAATAGTCTGCAAGAACATCCTCTACAGAGCTTAATTTTGTAACCGTAATTTCGCGTAGCTACCTTTATGATCAATATTATAGACAGTGTTTTCACATATCTAAAATTAAACGTCTAGTAGATACCACCTCTAAAAATGCTGGCCTCTTTTGAACTGTAAAGTTGGCTTTTTCATCTAAGATGGAGGCCTTGGAAAACGCAGTTACACTTGGTTTGATCTTAAAGATCTCCGATTTTTCTCCGAAATGCTGGTTTGTGCAAATGCATTGTTCCTGTCAATGAATTTGGGCTTGTGTTCGGTGTTGGGCGATCGATATTATATAGGCCTATTAAATTTAAAATATAAGAGTAAGTTAACGTTTTAGTAGGTAGTATTATTAGTACCGGTAACATTCAATATCATTATCATCTTCATTCCCATCATCATTACCACAATTAACATCATCATTTTTATTTATTTATTAATTTCCTATTTCCTTCACATCAAACAGCAAGTACATTCGCCACTTACATGATGGAACGATGCTTATAAACCATACAATCCAAGTCGCTTTATGAGGCCTAGGGGAGTGGAGTTGATTTTAGTCGTGAGGAAAAGTCCTGAGATAGGAATTGAACCCAGGACCCAGAGATTAGAAGGCAAGCATCTTAACCGCTAAACTATTCAGCTCCACTGAAGAAATCATCATCATTATCATCATCATCATCCTTTTTATCATCATCCTCAATCGAGGAAAATGAATCTTGCCGGAGAACTGACCAGTTAAATAAGGGCCAGGGATACGTGCTTGTTCACAAACTCTCCCGTTTACGTATAATGTTTACGCTAAAGTGTGTGTGTGTTTTTTTTTTTTTTTTTTTTTTTTTTTTTTTTGCAACCATTACCAATGGGCGGACTTACCAGAAAGGACCGCATGTACAGTTTGCATATCTAATGTGGGGGTTCAGGAATATAAATTCATTGAGCCGTCCAGATCGGCCCTGGCTTCCAGGGCTGCTCAATTGGCTTAATGGCGGGGCCCAGAGGGGTCGAGTGGCAGGGCACAAGTGGGGTTTGGTAGGGGACGCTTATTATTTCGTTTTTACCTATTGGGTCCCGGTAGTAGTCAAGTGATAAGTCAAATGGAGGTTAGGACATGACGTTTCTACAATAAATGTTCTTTTAGACAATTTAAACAATTATTCACCTAAAACAGATGATATTTTTTCATCTTTTAAAGAATGTTTCATTCTAGAGACCCGAGTCTCTATGCAGATTCAGATTCAGATTTCTTTTATTTTCCACCAATAACATAAAAATATAAAATATAATGTGGAGGAGGCTATAATAAAATCATGTGCTGCGGTAGAAAATCTTGTGGGATAATTGTGAACAGAGGAAACTGATGTAAAGTCATTTAATTGAGAAGCTAAAGTTTGTTTAAATAATCTGAACATAAATATAGCTATTTGAAGTTTATTTAAGTCATATATTGAAACTTTAAAATTATGAAATAAAAGTTTAGTATGGGACCTATATGATGCATGTGCACAAAAATACGCAAAGTACGTTTTTGAAGGAGAAAGAGTTTGACATATTTCGTACTTTCCAAACTTAAGGACATAATGATTCGAATTTGTTCGTATTTACTGCCCCATGCAATATTATCGTAAGAAATGTACGGTAAAACAAGAGTGCTATATAAAATTAATAGAATATTGGACGGCAGATAAAGCTTTTATTTGTTTATCATTCCTAAATTTCGAGAAATTATATTAGCTACACGATCAATATGGGGCTTCCAATTTAAATTAGAGTGTATTGTAACGCCTAAAAATTTAGTTTAGACGAGTAATTTTAGCATTATCCATGTATAGGTCATCTTTAAATTTAGTAGTTTTAGATTTATTAAATATAATAGAATTTGTTTTAGAAATGTTTAAAGATAATTTATTTAGTTTAAACCAGTCTGATATTTTAATTAACTCTTGATTCATTTTTTGAAATAATATATTTTTATTTTTATGCGAATAGAAAATATTTGTGTCATCTGCAAATAATGTAAAGTTAAATAATTTAGAACAACTTGGAATATCAATAACATAAATTAGAAACAAGAGAGGTCCTAAGATCGAGCCCTGAGATACACCGCACGTTGTGGGTAACCCCCACAGAATTAAAAAAAAAAAAGTTATAGACTGTTTGACAAGTAGCTTTGAATTAATTGTAGTGGAAGCCTCTGATACCATAATGTTCAAGCTTATGAATAAGAATATCGTGAATAATGGTATCAAAGGCCTTCGACAAATCAAGGAAAATTCCAATTGTTACTTCGTTTTTGCTTAAAGCATAATTTATTTTGTTATGGATGTCAATTAATGCAAGGTAAGTGGAATATTGTTTTCTAAAGCCATATTGTCTATTATAAATAATATTATGTTCGCAAAAATAGTCTTTTGTAAATTAATCGTTCAAATATTTTGGATAAGCAGGGGAGTAATGAAATAGGCCTATGATTATTAAACTGACGTATGTCTTCTTTTTTATGAATTGGAATAAGTTTTGCGATTTTAAATTTGTGTACACAGTATTTCTGGTATCAATGGACTTAATTAGTGAATTTGAAATCCAAGGCTTTTTTCTTTGCGTAAATTCCGTCTACATTTTTGTTTTTTAAAATGCCTGTTATATACCAACTTAAATGTAGAATTAAATAAGTTAAAAGAAGAGTTTGGGTCACCTTTATTATATAGATCAGACCAATTTGTATTAGACAACTCATTTTTAAAATTAGAAATTGTTTTATTATTAAGTTTAGTTATAAATACATGTTTAGGCTGTTGGTTAATCTGACGTGTATGTCAGCTGAAATGCTATTGTTTAAAAAGAAAACGGGAAAGTGATCAGATATGTCAGAATAGAAAATACCAGATGCAATTTTTTTCAATAATTTTATTAGAAAAAATATTATCAATGAGGGTTGCAGTTTTGGTTGTAATTCGTGTTGGTTTAGTAGCTAAGGTATAAAAATTAAAATTAAACATATTATTAATGAATTCAGATATTTGGCAGTGGGTATTTACAATTTAGTAAATTAACGTTGAAATCACCAGTAAGGTACGAAGTTTTGGTTTTTTTATTTATAATTTCCAAGGATTTTGGAAATTTTTTTAATTAAAAGTATTAACTGATAAGTCAGGATTTCTGTAGATCAAGAATAATATTTTTATGTTGAGCATTGATTTCAATAAAAATAGATTCGGCATTACTAGAAATAATAGAGGAAAGATCATTACGCATTCTGTAGTCTCTGATCTAGGTATATGGCGACACCACCTCCTGGCCTATCAGATCTTGAATTGTGCAATAAGTTATAGCCAGGTATACTAAAAAGGAAAGTTGGTTTTATTAGTGTTAAAAAACGTCTCTGAAAAACACAATTCGTGACTGATTGTATTTAAGAAATCATTAATTCCATCGAAGTGCTTAACTAAGCTTCTGGCATTTAGATGAAAGGTGCTAAAAGAAAAATTAAGAATAAGTTACTATCTGCATTGCTATCATACAAATCAATATCAAAGGTTAAATTGAGAGAGCTTATTTTCTCAAAGTTTAACTTATGATCTAGAAAAAATGTTGAACTTCATGAACAAATTCGGTGTCATCTAAAATATGGTTAAAAGGAAAAATAATATTGGCACAGTTTAAACAGAGACAGTTTTCTGATTTATTATTACATTTCAAGTGTACTGTAATATTGCAAGATATGCACGACGTCGAATCAGGTGTTAAATTTGAATTTCCGGTACATAAAGCACATTTTATAATTTAAAACATGACACTATTAAAAGTGCGAACACAAAAATATACTGCAAGATAACAAATAAGTATCAACACTTGTAAATAAATAATTTAAAAAAATATCAATAATAAAGAATCTCATGACTCGTTATTTCTTTTGTCGAGTTTTCAGCGAGTTATAAAAATAATACAGAAACAGTTAGTTTACTTGCTCCGTCTTCATAAACAAATAATAATGTTTATATCAAGTTTTGTATAGTTCTAGTACCGGTCGTATCGGACTTGTTTTAGATGTGCAATCGTCCATTTATAGAGGTTTCCGTTACGGAATGATGGCTTCTTCCCCTCACTATAAGCCTTTGTCATCACGTCTCGGAGGCTTCGTTTTTTAAGCAAATCAGCTTCGCATAGATCATTTCTGACAAATTTATTGCTGTCCTTTAGCAAAGTTCTTGCCTTGGTAAAAATTTCGTAGCGCTGAGGACGGTAAATAAATTTTGCAACTATGTGCCTAGGTTTATCATTAGACCCACGAGGCTTACCTGTTCGGTGAGCATTTTCTATAATGACGTTAGGCAAGTTCAGTGTAGGCCTATTACTGATCAAATCCTTTATTTTCTCCATTGCATTTTCATTTCTGTCTTCCGATAACGCCTCCAAAACGAAAATTGAATGATCTAGATTAACGTAAAATTTGATTTATCTGATTCAGCAGTAGATGATAAATCATTGAAATCACTCGTTAAATTATCTACCTTATTAGTCAGCTATTTAAACGTTCGTGAATTCGATAGATTTTTTCCAATTGAATTTCCTTGGTTTCCATATTGTCCATCCTAGTAAGTATGGCTTGCTGGTTCTATAGCACAAAATCCAGCTGGCCTCGAATTCCCCACAAGTCTGTCGACAGCTTTTGAAATTCGCGCATCAGGGATTCATCCGCTATATTAGGCGTAGCGGCAGATTCCAGCTGTAGCAATGGAGGGCCAATTGATTTGTGGGGCTTACATCCAATTTTTCCGTCTTTTTCACCATACCGACTTAAAATAGAAGGTGCAATAATAATTGAATATCAATCACAAATGAGAGACATATTCCTTTCGGTTATTGATAGTTGCAGCAAAACAACGTTTTAAGACGCTTTTTGACGGAGCAAACCAACTACCAACCACTCACTCACTCACTCGACAGCATTATTCAGTATGCCTTTGAGCCCTGACAGTTCCCATTTTGGTGCTAATTATTATCATCACACTCTAATACAAACATAACTTTGTGTGTTTTTTAGGGTCTCCAATTTTCTATACACTTAGTGTATACATTGAGTGAGTGAATACTCTTGTTGTTGTGAATTTGGGTCAACCTCACTCTCGATACAATGCAATATTTTTATTTTAACACGCTTTGATTTTGATGTAAAACGGTGTTCACACATTGTATTTTGTCTAGCAATTCTGTTGATAGTATAATAACGTGCTTGAAATCGTGATGTGCTTTAGTTTTCTGATGTCTGCAATCCATATCAGATATCAACCAGATGTCGATAGCGATTTACACAGAAGTAAATTGCCGCGAGCTTTTATTATAGAGAGTATATGTGTATATTATTATTAAATATTGTGGTTCAACAAAATGTGGTTTCTATTACATTTTTTTTAATAATAAGTTTACTGTCTGCTATCAAATACAAATAGGTTATCTTAAAGGGGCCAAAGTTGATAAGCAAAATATATTTAATTGAATTTAATTTTAAAAATGTACAATTGGCCGTCATGGCACTGGCAAACAGTCGAAATAAACTTACCTGTAAGTATGGCAGCACGACTAGGTGAACAATATGGGTTGGCGTACATTCGGTTGAATTTCATTCCTTCTCTTGATATCTTGTCGATATTTGGAGTTTTTACACTCTTGTTTCCATAGCAACCTAAATCCCCTAATCCCGTGTCATCCAAAAGGAACATTACAACGTTCGGTGGCCTATCATCGACTTTACCCGTTTTTACTGGTTCAAATGCCTCTGCTAAAACTCTATGTGCGCCACAAAATAATAATGCGAGAAATATAATCGCAGTAGCCATATTGAAAAATGAACGGAATGATGCCCATAAAATAACTCAATTTACAAATGAATGAATCAAGACAGAAATGCAACATCTATGACAGGCCTCTACCGCCTTCCAATGATATGGTACGTGTGTGATCTAAGCGTGACCTGAAAATGTATAGGCTTTAAGTGGCGCTATACATCCGCAAAAAACACCGTAGGCTAGCACCTGTGAATTGGATTTATTCTACTTTGTTTGGAAGCTAATACTCGATTATTTCTATAGACCAATGTCGGAGCGGAAGCTCTAAAAAATGTTCACACTTTTATTACCGTCGACTTGGGTATTTTTGCCGCACTTGAAACGGGATGACAAACATGTAATTTTTGAGAAAATAGACAATTTTTTCCTCAAATTACACGTCAATTGTAAATGCGTAATTTGAGATAAATCATTATTTTTTTTAAAGGTTAAATTTTTCAATTTTTAGTTTATGCCTACATATTTGATGGAATTATGTTAGTTCAGAATAAGATATAGCCTATAAGCTAGTGGAACAATATTCTTCTCATTGAAAGATAAGAGAAAATAACATTGTTTATTATACAGGCGCATTGAACAAATTATCGAATTAGACTTATATAGGCCTACTTGAAATGCAAGTAAGGCTAAATTACGAGTTTGCATAGGGTGTTGGTTTATGGGATGTACTGGTGAGGGGGCACAGGCGGAGGTGTAATTTTGTAAGTTTGCCGCTCAGGAAGGCAAGTTGGTGGCGCTATTGCTAAATAAAAAAGAGGGATATACTTTTTTTTGGCGAGTCGAATGGCTCGCCTATGGTTCTGGAGGTAGAACAGTCTTTTCGGATAAGGATTATAAACCGTAGGCCCAATGTACACAATTGGCTCATGTCACAACCCAGTCCATCTTTCGAAACGAGTAGTGGTTACCCCGGTGTACTGGAGTCCATAATTCCCCTGTTGTGGACAGATGAGAGTAGCTGTACCGGTATACTGGGTAGCAGGGGGCCAAGAATTCTCCGACGAGGGGTCGAAGCTCCCCGACAAGGGGGTCCACACCTGAACGTTTTCCCCTCCTCCTTCCCCGGCCGGGGAAATATTATAAAAAGAATTTTGTGTTAATTATGGGATTCTTTATTTAAAAATTAAATTATAATTTGATAGAAAAACCATACAAATTGAGAGTCCCCCTATCGGGGGTACTAACCCCCCATTTAAGCAGGGTACTGTAGCTCATCCAGCTAAGTGGGGCCATCACATACTTCAAAAATACAAGTTTACAACAATAGTTAAGAGTCCCACTGTCGGGGGTACTACCCCCGTCGTAGGTTCCAGCCCCTTGTCGGGGAAAATCTGGCGGCACCACCGTAACCCATACGATCGCAATATTATACAACACCTCGCACATACGGAGTTTTTTATCCCTAAAATTTGACAGCTTATTATAAGGCATGCTTAAATTGTACTTTTGGCGCTCGAGACTTTTTCCCCGACGACCCTGCTGGAAATTCACCGACAGGGGGTTCAAGTGGGGGTCCAGAGGTCCCCGACGAGGGGTACTTTGCTCTCTTGGATCCCTTGTGGCGGCCTTGCTGGGTAGCTCCGACATGAAGATACACTTAGGGAAGAAGCAAGTTACTGTAAGAGCTAGTCCACACCTCAAACGTTCTGAGACCGGTTCGGTATTAAGTTTGATAGGCCTATAAATCTAATTACGTAGGCCTAAATACATTACCAAGATAAAAAAAATCGCCTGAATAAGGCACAAACGGCTATAGTATTACTGATCATGACCCGCATCTAACCACCATGGTCCAAATTGGAATGTAAAGATACTCTAAGTAAAGATACTCTAAGTAAGAAAAGTTACTTAAAAGAATTTAAAAAGTAGTCATGAATTGTGGAGTTGTAGACCTTTCTAGTGGCGTAGGTATGGGCAGTGTAGCCAGTCCCAGAATATATGCGCGTTGACAGTTCCGCCTAAACCTAAATAGACCGCACCAATTTTATATATAAAAATTGTATATATTTTTCTAAATGACTATTTAATGCTATTAACTAAATTTTTGATAATCTTATTTTTTATTGAGTTAATTAATGCATTGTTTATTTTCAATGCACATACGTTATTGATTCATAATTAATATATATTTTTAATTGTGAGTACTTTCTTTTTATATATTTTTGTACTATAGCTTTTGTGGTTTCTTGAAGTTTGTTTTCGGCATACCACTGTCTTTGGTCACCCTCGGTGATAAAGTCGAATAAAAAATTAAAATAAAATAAAATCTTGCAATGGGGGCCAGTCACCACCTCGCTCACGCTGCTGGAACCCCAAATTTACAATAAGATTCCTAAAAAATAAACAACCCAAGGGGACGAGACCCAACACCCAACAGTATTCAGACTTAATTTTGGGGGCGCAAAATGTACTAGGTGCTCAAAATCATAAAGCAAGCACACGCAGGCCAGCTGAAGGTGGACGGACAATCACGGACAATCACGGAAACGTCACATCTAAGTTTTAAGTAAATATGTTTCTAGCAAAAAGAAACTTGTGGTGATTATAATGATTACAATGATGATGATAATGATTATGAACACAATGACTACTGTTGTAGCAGACAAGGAGGCTCAATTTATGTACAATAGTACTAGGTCTAATATAACGCATACAATAAAAAAAATGTCAACAATTGATGTTTACACAAGACATCCATGCCCATTTTTATTGAACGAAATTCATTAATAGGCTTATTTACAATTTATATATAACGCCATGTCATCCCCTGTTACCGTCATTACTATATGAATCTAGGCCTACAGTGAACACACACTATAATATCAGCATCAGTGACGCCGATAGGGGAAGGGGCAGAGAAGGTCCAGGGCTTCTCCGTCAGGAAGAGCTAGCCACTCCTTTCGGGGAGAGGAATATAATTTTTTTTAAAGATTTATTTAGGCACACATTAACACATACACCAAGGATTTTCAATAGCGAATCTATTCTGTCCTACTTGTAGGTGACAATCCCTTTCACAAGACAAGCATAGACACACGATAACTCTCAATGAGGTTTTAGGGAGAGGAACTGTTTTGGTCGTGAGAAAAAAATCCAGCAACACTGACAGGAATTGAACACAGGACGCTGGGATTAAAAGGCAAGCATCTTAACCACCAAGCCCTTCAACTCCATTCCAAAAGATTCATCGGGGAGAAAATCAAGTTTTACAGAATGTGAGACTCGTTTTACAGAATGTGAAATCGATTAAATGTAGGCCTAATAAGCCTTTCAAATACATAACCGATGGTCCCACCCACTTATGCTCCCGTTTGAAAAAATCTCTCTGAACCGTCGAGTTCATTGTTGCCCGCCTCCCCCGCCCGGCCACCTCCGCGCTGGGGACATCGGTCCCCCGTTTGTCAAATCCTGGCGCCACCATGAATATCAATACATATACATTTATATCATACATTATGATTGCTATGTTTATACAAACATAGGCCTATTACTACATACCTGTAACTACATTAGAGTCTGACTTCAATAGCACCAGATTTTTAAAAGCTTGAGTCTGGGGTTCTCAACCGGCGGCCCGTGGGCCATCTCCGGTCCGCGATGCGTGTTATGCGGCCTATATATTCAAGCCTCACAAGCGATTTAATCAATCAAATCGGAAGATCTATCGCAGCAAACAGGAAAGAAAAGAAATCACAGACACACCAACTTTCGGCCTCTCGCACTGTCGCTCGCTTGATGCTTGATGTCTACCGGCTTATTATTTTTTTTAAAAATCTAATTGCTGGGGGATACCTCCTCCAAATTCCTCCTTCCTGTTCGCGCCTGCTGCACTCAAATGTCGCTACGCGCCAAAGTACACCTCCTGCCCTGGCCTTTCAAATTTATTCAGTGAACAATTTTGGCCCTATTGCGACATAGCTGAGAACTCATGGTTTAGGGTAATAAAGTTTTTGAAAGTCGAAAAGTTGAGCACAACATATTCTTGTCCTGACCCGTACCACCCTAGAGACAGGCCATTATAACATTATAATACAATTGCACGGTATCTGAATTGGAAGGTAGTGTGTCAAACCACCTTGACTTATCACCACCTACCACTGATGCATAAGGTAACCATGCAACGTCCTCCGCTTCCAGTAGGAGTAATGTCCAATTGCAATGTAACGCACTGCACATGAGACAAAATACAGGGGCGGATCCAGAAATTTCAAAAGGGGAGTGTGGCATTTGTATTCTATCTTTTTTTTAAATTTTATCTCAATACATAATATTGATATGCACTTAAATAAACAAACTAGTGTAAAAACGGTGGGGGGAGGGGTTAACGTGCCCTCCCCGTGGCCCACTAGTTCTGTGCCCAAAATCTAATTCAATGCCACAAGATTCTTTCATACAACCATTAAAAGTAATTAAAGTACCTTGCTTACAATATGTACAGCGGAGGCAAAAGGGCTAAACAGATGTGATATGATATTCGAACCCGGGTATCAAACATTTTGACTGGACTCTTTCAACTTAACAATCATTCACATTAATACTGGTGCTAGCCTAAGGGAGCATAGGATATCCTCACTATTGCAGTGGGGTACATACCGTACTCGCGCGAATAGGCGCCCCGTTTGAATAAGCGCCTCTCTCGAATAACCGCCCCTCAGCTCCTAACGTGAAAATTTCCTTAAGCGCCCCGTTTGAATAAGCGCCCTATATAATATCATAAGATTTTCTTTTTAGCAAGTCAATAAATCCAATCAATCCTGGGACTGTGTTTGTTGGCATGATTTGAGCTGCAGTCGGAGTGGAATATCATTCTTCTTAGGTCAATATCAAAATGAGGATATTTCTCTTGGACAGATGAGAGCTCCGATCCCTGGACAGACAGTATATTTCCAACTTTGCTCTTTTTACATTGTCTATGCCTCCTAATCCTCTTTTTCTTTTTCCGACCTTTAGCACATTTTCATCTGAGTTTTCAAGAAAAAATACAATGATCTTGCCATCCTGCTAATCTCAATCGGCCGATGGCCAACAAGCTAACCACTACCCACCACCACTAATTGAATCTGCTATTCTGCTGTTATGTAAATATTCACGCATTCTTGTCATGTGCCATGTTTCTCTGGACGATTATCTTTTCCGCCTAACCACCATTCGTAATGTCCTTATATAATCTTTTTTCATTCAAAAAGTGCCTCTTGAATTTAATAATTTCCCATAAGAACCCCTCGATTTTCATCTATTTCCATAAGCGCCCCCTCAATTTCCACTCTGTTTTCATATTGCAAATTGCAAAATTATTTTAAGCGCCCGGGCGCTTATTCGCGCGAGTACGGTAGGCCTACGCTCGGTTCACATTAGGCCTACAGAAATAGACTGTTTTGACACAATTACAAGAAACGCTTAAAAACCTATGTCATTCACCTGACAATGGAATTCATTGGGAACCACCAAAGTTAGACAAGCTTTAACGCAAACCTACACGAAGTTTGGATAACAGCCTAATGTACTTAGGCTTACAACTTAAGATGGCCACTCACTGCGCCCGGCGGTCGTCGGCCGACGCGATGCTCTGCGGAATGCAAAGCCACGATGTGTCGTTTTTAATGACAATCCGTTCAGACGGCGTAGCCTCGTCTCACGCTCGCAGGAGTGGAGTTGGATTCGTCGGCCAACGGTCGTACAGCCGTCGTACGACGCGCAGTGAGTGCCCGCCTTTACGCAAATTAACTTTGATTTATTCATGTTAAACAATATTGGTAGTTCTCTCGGATTAATGTGATACCGTGACACAACGTCTGCTAACACTCCTACTAATACCGTGACACAACGTCCTCTTAACACTGCCTAGATTGCTTGCATAACGTCCGCTAAAATTGTCGCTGATACTGTGACACAACGTCCGATCGATAACACTGTCATTGATTCCTTGACAAAAATTCGCTAACACTGCCACTAATACCTTGATACAACGACCAATAACCCCGTCATTGATTCCTTGCTTCCCTGATACCATCACACAACGTCTACCAACATTGCCAATGATTCCTTGGCACAACGTCCGCAAATTCTGCCACTGTTACCGTGATGCAGCGTCCGCTAACACTGTTAATGATTCATTGGCACAACGTCCACAAATTCTACCACTGATACCGTGACATAAGGCCAACATTGTCTCTTATAGATTCACCAAACTAAAATTCAGTATCTCCATGGAACCCATTCACGAACCCCACAATTATACTCCGGAACCTGACCAAGTCTCTAGGCGGCCTTTAATTCGGACCCTCACCTCAACAACTGTCGAACAGGTTGGTGCTCTTTTGGCAAATTCCTGCAGTGAGACAACCATGCTTCCAATGTCAGCGTTTTCACAGAGCCAGTGTTACAAAATTGTAACAACGTTGTAAATCTGCGATGACGTCGGTGGCATATCATTATAATATAATGATAGAATAGTAATGTGTTAATACTATGCATTGTTGTCTAATTACGTTTTTGATGTTTCATGGAAGTATGGAGGTAACCTTCTGGGAGTGTAAGTGTCTACTTCCTCTCTTTCTCTCAAATACAACACATGTTTCAATTGCATTGAATTGCAATTGTGTTCGTCGATTGGTTCGTCGATATAGAGCTAGTTCGTCCGTTAAGAATTCTCGTTCAGACTTATTCTGCAAACACATCTGAAAACTGTTCACCCACTTCGAGTATGTTGTAGTCATAAGCTGCCTCTCGAGTATCAAAATTGCATGGAGTGATCGTACCTATGATTTTTCATCTACATATCAAGAGCGAATGTTAATAGTTTGGCACAATGTCATATGCATTCAAATAAGGTAGGCTGCTTGTATCACAAAATGCATTTTGATAAGACTACTTATTGAAACCGCATTACACGGTTTCGCTAGTCTGTTGAGCAGTGATGTTTGTCGCCCCTGTGTTGTCGTTGGTGGGTGCATAATCGTCACCAGTTTGCACATACCCCAGCAAAAGATATCTTCTGAAATACTTTCGAAAAAGAGGGCTTCGTGTGTATAACACAATCGGGTTGACGCACGAATTGAAGTAAAAGAAGATAACTGAGAAATCATTGAAGTTTTTGACCCAGGTCTCATCAAGTAATGGGTAGAACTCCATTAGCAACAAACGGACATTGAATGGAAACCAACAAATGGCAAACAGAATGGCAATCACTAGCACAGTTATTGCGAGGTGTTTGCGAGCGGCCTGCGACCTACTTGTGCCGGTCGATGAACTGAATGATGCTGGTTGATCGTTTAATTTCATTGCCATCATTATATAAAAGAGCACAACAACAATCATGGGTACAATATACATGAATACTAATCGAATTATCGCGTATGCAATTGACTCTTTTGTGCCATGTTCGAGGAACTCGCACCAGGAGTAGCCGCAGAGCGAAATGATTTGTGAAAAATAAACAAGCGGAACACTAAACGCAACTGAGACTAGCCAAATGAAGGCAAGTTTGAAAAGAAGCGAGTTTACAGGGTTTGAGTTGCTACGAGACTTGGGCTGTGCGACAGCTTTATAGCGGTCTACGCTCAAACTCAGAACCGTGAAAATAGTAACTCCTTGTATTATTGTGCTGATGGCATTAAAGAATTTGCACCGAAATGCCGTCGTACCGAATGGTTGAAATCGAATTTTAAATTCTAAAATCGGGATAAAGCACATCAAAAGAAAATCACCAACAGCAAGATTCAGCATTGCATAATTTGAGCTTGTGCGCATGTGTCTATTTAGTGTTACGGATAATATAACGAGTAAGTTGCCAATGAGTGCTACTACAGCGATTATCACAGTTGCCGCTAAATATAGCTTATCCTTGTAGTCGAGGAAGTTAATAAAACTCACACATGAATTTGTCGGTGTGGTGTTGGGCAAAAGTAGATCGAACGTTGAGTTCGGTATACCTTCTTCCATTTTGTATATGCTTCCAGGCAGAAGACGATTGCTATTCGCATCTGAAAGAAGCAAAAAAAAATAAGAAAAGGAAAACATTATTAATGTGTTACTGATGGTTATTGTTATTCAATTCAATTCAATAAATCTTAATAATCCCAAATGGGGCAATTCAAATCAGGTTGACATTACAAGCATCATAAAAAACATGACATTAAAAATATAAAACACAGAAAAATATACAATGAAAAAAAAAGAATCGTTGATTTAAAAAAGTATAAGAAGTAGCCCTACTCATTATTAAGGAGTCGAACGGCAACATGTAGGAACGAATTTCTACATCTATTTGTTTTACTCACCGGACACCGGAAACGACGCCCATGTGGTAGAAGCTCAAAATCATTAAACATTGCATGATTACTGATTTTTAAGATAGTTTTACTTTTATCTAAAATCTGTCTATTACAAAGGGAAGATAAACTACGCAGCTGGCAACCCATTATTTTAGAACTTAGTTAACTATTTTATGTAGTGAATTTTTCTCTTTAACCTTAACATTGTAAAACCAACAGATAAAGAGAGTACATTTTCAATGAATGAGTTATAAAAAATCTTAAGAAAATGTTTATCAACATTAAAATAGTTTAGTTTCCTTAACAGATAAAGTCTCTGCTGTCCTTTATTGACAATGGTATCAGTATTAAGTTCCCAAGAAAGATTATCCTCAAAAATTGTCCCCAAATATTTAAAAGAATGAACAAAATCAACAGAATAAAAAATAAAAAACAAAAAAAAAAAACAACATTGCTCTTGTTATAGGCTATGTTATTTATTATCACCATCACCAATGTCAATAGTCATTGTCATGCTTATTCTCGAATCTCATTATCCTCATTGCCATCTTCTTTACCATTATACCGTCATTATCATGACCATTATCATTATTATAATTTTTATTAGGTACTCAGTGTGCACAAGGCAATACGTAGAACATGTACCTAAGCCCATTTATCACAACGTGGAAGCCACAATTATGAAATAAATCGTGGGTACAGCTAATTGAATAATGGAAAAAATAGAAACACCTGTCGGACTAACCAGTTGCAGCAATTAGTTATTTTATTATTATTTTTACTAGACACATGCAGGCGACCTGCCGTCCTATTCGATGTAAATAGGAACGTAAAACGTACGTTACTACTACCGACGAGCGTCCACACGATGCTTACCCACCAGGGCAGATGTACTCATTAAATACTGCGAAGCTATTGAAACCCATGGAGCGTCGGCAGACCACCTATTACTTACTGTAACTTCTAAATAAGACACACTGTAGGCTTAGGTCTATATTAGTTTCTCTGTACAGTATAGGCCTAGTGTGCAATTTATCCTGGCACAGCTGCGCAGCTAGGTGATGACGGGCCCCAGTGCAAGATTAATTGCCGGGCCTTTTGAATTCTCAAATTCGGCCGTCAGGCCTATGACCGGGGAACAACTGGGGCCGCCAATGGCCACAGTGGGCTCCAGGCGAAAAACTCCCATGGGGAGCTTCAACGTGATTTCCACGAGCTGGTTATCTGATTGTAATTCAGACTGAAATCGTTATGAAAAATTTATCTGACTGAATTTACAGAATGAAGATCCTTAGGTAGCGATTCAAGTGCAGTATTTGTAAAATTCATCAGACGATTGCTTCCTATAAAATGTATGCCTGTAGGCTTAGGTTAATTAAAGTTATGAGTTTCCTTTAAAATATTGCACTCAGCCAGCAGCTTGTAGGCCTAGTTATGCTTTGCTTAATGCGCTAAGGCCATATGGCTCCTCTAGATGCCCGGAAAGCTGAAATGCAGGCCCGTAGGAAGCAGTTTGTTATTGATCAGGCCAGATATGACCCCCGGGGGAACTGTCGAACCTCCCGTCAGGCAGGCCTGGGCCGACGCACGACTAGGTCGTCGGATAGAATACGAAAAAATAATAATTTGCCTATCCAAATAACGTTATTTTGACTGCCGATCCCCAATATTTTGGACCATACTAAGCCATAAAAACTCACCCCGTGAACCCTACAAGAGAGGGTTTTTTTCTTTTTTTTTTTTTCTGGGCCGTCGACCGAGGCTGCGTCTGCCCCTTGGCTTTGGCCTCTCAGTCGGCAGGCCCGTAGGCAGGATTTTCGATGGGAAGGTGCGTTTTGCGAACGATGTGGACCTTAGGATGGGAGACTGCCTATGGCTCCCCGTGGGGGTGGGACGAATTCCACAGAAGCTCCGTCAAATTAGCATTTTGGAAGCCTTATAATGGATTTCTGAAATTTTTATTCATTTGGCTATTGATTAGGGACCTAAAGCAGTGGTGGATCCGGAATTCGAAATGGGGGGGGGGGGCAGGAAAAAACTTTCACAGACGGATGGTCCATACCAACCATGGTGGGACTGAGATAAAAACAAAATATGATTATGGCACCAATGGCCGGAAATGGCACTCTCAAACCTAAATTTAATTATAAGTTTTCTTTTTTCTCCATTTCTTTTCTTGAATGGGATTCAATATTTCGACATTAATTATGTCATCATCAGGAATGAAAAAATTATCCATATTAGCAAGCTTATATGCACTAGTACCAAAAGTGTTTAACCAATCAAAACATTACCTCTAGTAGGTGACAT